ACAGTGTGCACTGCGTGACCAGGCCCAGTTAATTACCACCTGATACACCGAGACGACATGCTGCGCCTCCACTATTTCCACACAAAAGAGATCCTTAAACGGAGCAGAACCCAATCTGGCTGGATGGAGAAATACCAGGACGTTGCGGTTTATGCCGACCTATTGACATTCACGCTCAAAAGGAGAGCATTCCATGCCATCATGGAGCAACTCAAATCCCACAGAGTCGTCTACCACTGGGGATACTTCTTGAAACTGTTGGTGCATTGGGAGGGTAAGACCATGGTATGGTTTACCCCCGAAGACTTGGCTAAGAAGCTGCGCGACTGGGGAGCGGAGCCGATGGAACAACCAAGGCCTGCTGGAGCACCCAGGCGCTTTTCCCCCTACTGGAAGTGGGCGAGACGGAGATAGTGGATCGATGGTGGTCCCAAAGACTGTACTAAAATGTCAGACGAACTTCAAGTATACATGATGTATATGTGATGTATGCTTACTGCATGTTCACATAACATATATAACTTACACAACATGCGTAATTATTTACATAGCACTTGGCCCTCAGGGACACTCTGGATTTGGGGGTGCTACGGGTGTACGAAGTGTTGTCCTGCTTATTGTATTAGGGTCCTCACTACAGTATAGCCTCCCACCAGGGGTTAGGGAAATACTGGACACATTTATAGGACACAGCCCCGAGATACTATCATTCTCCATGGTACCTTTTAGACGTCACTCACATCCCAGCAACCAGAGGACCTTAATCACTCATCCCCACATGGTCAGCCTGATGGCTGAGGTGCAAAGTAGAGGTAGCACCTACTGAAGGGTCCAAGGTGTCACCACTTCAATTTTAAAACCAAAAACAAACCAAAAAAAGACAAATAAAAAAATAAATCAAATACAAAAAAAGGGAAATAAAAATAGTGTAAGAAACGAACAACAATTGTCAAAGTATATATACGTGATATACCCTGACCGGTTAATCTGTTTTTTACTCGGGCACACGATGGCCAAATGCAAACTTTTTTTTTTTTTTTTTTAATGGTTATGGTCTTTATAGACAGTTTACAAGTGCTTAAGGCCTAATGGGAGCACACTCTCCATGGACAGGGAGTACTTACTTCCTCCCCCAAAGGCACTATTGGGAAGTGCCTAGCCGATTATTCAGCCCATTAGTTTTCATTTTTTGGTTATACCTGGACACTACGGGGGTGCGCAGGGATGTTTTTCCTGGGCGCCACAGGGGCATTCCCTTCTTTTGTTTAAACACCCTGTTCCAAATTATGTAAATTCTATTTAACCCCTAAGGACGCTTAACGGAAATTTTCCGTCATGCTGGTCCTACCCTTAAAGGGGCACTATAGGGCCCTGAGGGTGCCCACACCCTCAGGGTCCCCCTCCCGCCCGGCTCTGGAAGGGGGAAAAGGGTAAAAACGTACCTTTTTCCAGCGCTGGGCGGGGAGCTCTCCTCCTCCTCCTCTCCTCCTGTCGGCTGAATGCGCACGCGCGGCAAGAGCTGTGCGCGCGTTCAGCCGGTCACATAAGAAAGCATTCATAATGCTTTCCTATGGACGCTGGCGTGCTATCACAGTGAGAAGCACGCAAGCGCCTCTAGTGGCTGTCAATGAGACAGCCACTAGAGGAAATAGGGGAAGGCTTAACCCATTCATAAACATAGCAGTTTCTCTGAAACTGCTGTTTATGAAAAAAATGGGTTAACCCTAGCTGGACCTGGCACCCAGACCACTTCATTAAGCTGAAGTGGTCTGGGTGCCTAGAGTGGTCCTTTAAGGACGCCTGATGGAAAATTTCCGTCATGCAGTATTTTTCCAGCAGGGTCTATTACATTGCTGGTAACTATGATTCTCCCGGTATCATTTGATTCCTGGGGCTCACCTCTCTCATCTGGGTCCAGAATTAGTGGCCCCAGACTGACTGACTGCTCTGTTTGCAGAGCTCAAAGTGAGCGCTGCAAACAAGCATTTAAACAGGGATTTAAATCCCCACTATTACAATTTGGTGTGATCAGGGTTAAATCCCTGCTCACACATGGGAGTTCCAGATATCAATGGAAACCTGGGGCTCCCCTCTATCAACTGGGGACATTTTTAGTGACCCCAGCCTTTTTGATGAGCTACATGCAGTGCTGAAAGTCAGCGCGGCATGTATCTGCTTAAATAGGCATTTACATGCCTATATCTAGATTGTGGTGTAAGCAGGGTTAAATCCCTGCGCACACCAGGAAACCCAGGTATCGTTAGAAACCTGGGTCTCCCCTCTGTCAGCTGGGGTAATTTTTAATGTCCCCAGACTGACAGCTGAGCTGCATGCAGAGCTCAAAGTGAGATCGGCATGCAGCTGTTTAAATGGGGATTTAAATCCCCATAGACAGCAATGCAGTTTGAGCACGGTTAAATCCCTGCGCACACCAGGAAACCCAGGTATCGTTAGAAACCTGGGTCTCCCCTCTGTCAGCTGGGGTAATTTTTAATGTCCCCAGACTGACAGCTGAGCTGCATGCAGAGCTCAAAGTGAGATCGGCATGCAGCTGTTTAAATGGGGATTTAAATCCCCATAGACAGCAATGCAGTTTGAGCACGGTTAAATCCCTGCTCACACTAGGAAACCCAGGTATCATTAGAAACCTGGGGGTCCCCTCTGTCAGCTGGGGCCATTTTTAGTGGCCCCAGGTTTTTTGATGAGCTGCATGCAGCCCTTTAAATCCACAAAGAACACTGCAGCTGAGCGCTCAAGCTCAACTAGTCATTCTCTCAAATGATCTGGTGCTTGCGAGACCCCCAGGGTCTAAACAGACCCTGGAGGGTCACCATCTATGCCCAAATGCCATTCTGACCAGTGCTGGGCATTTTCAGTTGCCCAGCACAGATCGCATTGCATTGGGCATAATGTCTTCAATGTAAGCAATGGGAGACTGCAATACTGAAAATAGCCAGTAGATGGCAGAAACATACCACTGTGTTTTAGTTTAAAATCCCTTTACTAATATCAGTACTGATATTAGTAGAGAGAAACCTTTTGGGATTAAGGATTACAATTAAGGATTATTATTCGGTTTAGCATAAGTACTATAATTATCGGGTTTATTATTGGGTTTATTGAGTTTTAAGTTTATAGTTAATTGTAGTATTGGGATTACCGTATTTTTCGCTCCATAAGACGCACCTCACCATAAGACGCACCTAGTTTTTAGAGGAGGAAACCCAGAAAAAAAAATATTCTGAACAAACTGTTCCATGGTGTTTCTTACCATGGGACAGTTTGTTCAGAATATTTTTTTTTCTCCCCTGTCCCATAATGATCTTTAACCCCCCTTTCCTCTGTCCCATAGTGATTGTTAACCCCTCCTACCCTGTCCCATAGTGATTGTTAACCCCTCCTACCCTGTCCCATAGTGTTCTTTAACCCCCCCTCCCCTTGTCCATTAGTGTTCTGATCCCATAGTGTCCCCCCCTCCCATTGTCCCATAGTGTCCCCCTCTCCCCTTGTCCCATAGTGTCTCCCCTCCCTTTCTCCCATAGTGTCTCCCCCCCTCCCCTTGTCCCATAGTGTCCCCCCCTCCCCTTGTCCCATAGTGTCTCCCCTCCCTTTCTCCCATAGTGTCCCCCCTCCTTTCTCCCATAGTGTCTCCCCCCTCCTTTCTCCCATAGTGTCTCCCCCTCCTTTCTCCCATAGTGTCTCCCTCTCCTTTCTCCCATAGTGTCTCCCTCTCCTTGTCCCATAGTGTCTCCCTCCTTTTCTCCCTTAGTGTCCCCCCCTTGTCCCATAGTGTCTCTCCCCTCCCTTGTCCCATAGTGTCTCCTCCCTCCCCTTGTCCCATAGTGTCTCCTCCCTCCCCTTGTCCCATAGTGTCTCCTCCCTCCCCATGTCCCATAGTGTCCCCCCCTCCCCTTGTCCTGTCTAATTACTTACCTGTCTTGGAGCGTGGGCCGGCTTCACAGCGCGCTCCGCGGTCCAGGAACTTCTATTTCAGGTTCCGGTTTCCGGCGGGACTGAAAGGAAGTGTGCACACTGAGTCGGCCCACGCTCCAAGACAGGTAAGTAATTCTTCACATTCGCTCCATAAGACGCACAGACATTTCCCCTCACTTTTGAGGGGAAAAAAAAGTGTGTCTTATGGAGCGAAAAATACGGTATGTTTCAGAGTATGATTCAGATTATGGTTAGGGTCAGCACGGGCATCCCTTGCTGAATGTAGCAAGGGAATTCCACTGCTGACACCAGCAGGGGGAATATATATATATATATATATATATATATATATATATATATATATATATATATATATATATATATATATATATATATATATATATATATATAATCCATTCATCTATCTATCTATCTATCTATCTATCTATCTATATGTCTGTCTGTCTGTCTATCTATCTGTCTGTCTATTCATCTATCTATCTATCTATCTATCTATCTATCTATCTATCTATCTATCTATCTATCTATCTATCTATCTATCTATCTATCTATCTATCTATCTATCTATCTATCTATCTATCTATCTATCTCTATATCTATCTATCTATCTATCTATCTATCTATCTATCTATCTATCTATCTATCTATCTATCTATATATATATTAAATTCTTTATTTATGCCATGCATAAGCTTATAACAGTCGCATATGAGGTACCCCAAAGGCAATCCTCCTGCGCATTTTAGACAGTTGAACATAAAGGTACATGATAGCTCTAGCACATATTTTTATGGAAGGATAGGTCAAGTAATAAACCGTATAAATTATCATATCTAAATATTTTTATATTACATAGTAACATCGCTGCACTATCTAGACATGGATTTATTTTGCTGTGTCAAGAGCTAACTAGGTATTAAATGTGAGACCACTGGGGTCTAGTTGAACAAGAGAGGCTTCATGTTTGGGTGTAGTGTATGCCTATGTGGCTTGGGTGCAGAGCAGACGAGGTAAACCTTGTTAGTGCCCGTCCTGTGGTCTTGTCTCATGAGTGTTAAAACAGAGTCTACATAGAGAGCATGACAGAGATAAAGTAAAATAATCAAGCAGTGAACATTACGTTGGCAAGCAGAGGTTACAGTATACGATGAGGTGCGGTCGGTGAATGCATGTCTACTGGCTGTAAGTGGAGTGTAGACTGTGTGCCATATCGGGATGCAGTGTGCTAAATTTTATACAATATCAGTACAGAGAGGGACAAGGGTTAGTTATAACAGTACATTAGTTCTAGCCTGTACGGTGAGCTCATGCCACTTCTCTGCATGTGGGCCTGCAGGAGCACAGTCCGTCTCAGGTGCAGTCCGCCCTGTTCATCCGATGCCTGCTCTGGAGGCTTGATATGTGGACCAAGGACAATGGCAGAGTTGGTGCCGCGGTAAAGCCTTATGCCCTGGAGGTGCTCTCCACCCGTGCCTGTCGCCGGTAGGAAGCTGTGCCGCATTCCGGTTGGCCTCTCTGCTGTCAGAGCGAGTTCTCGAGTGCTGGGTTGCGCTTCGGTGGTCGGAGGTTTCCAGTGGTGATGAGTGGGTTGGGCGGGCTTGGTGGTCTCGTTCTGGTTCGTGTGAGGCTGAGTGCCAGTGTCTGAGGGACATGTCGCCATTTCTCGCCCCTTTAATCCCTGACACTGTCTCTGGCTGTAGGCCGCTCCGGGGGCTCGAGGTAGGTATCTGCCCGGGTGGCCGGGCGAATCCATGCCGCTATCTTTCATCGCTAGATGGAAGAACCGAGCTTTGGTACGGAGCTTCGGCCATAGGCTGTTACATAACCGGCCAAAGAACTCTATTGTGTGCTTGGGTGGCCTAGCGAGGGTGCTTTTCGGCGCCTGTGCTGCCGTTTTGACTGGGCCTCTACAGTCCCGTTTGGTTGCAGGTTTAAATGCTTGTTTCAGCCACGTTGCGGGGGTAGTCAACCCCTGCAAGGACCGGGATAACCCCCGCCGGTCCATAGGGGGGGGGGGGCAGCAGGGCAGTACGCAGGTCTCGATTGTGAGCAGGTCCTATGCTGAGAGGTCGGCCGCCTCTCCCAGGCCTCTGGCTCCGCTCCAGGTTAGGCCGCGTGGCCGGATCACGTGCAAGTAGCGTGTATCGTTGCATGACGGATGTCGTTCTATTCCCTGTGTGGTCCTGTATCGTTTTACGGGCCCCGTTTGCCGCTGGCAATGTTAGATTAGTCCAGATTATCGTTTCTGTGCTCGCTAGTGCAAGAGCTCTCAGAGAGCACATCCGGCCATTTTGGCTGTCAGGCCCCGCCCCCAGGGGGAATCCTTTTATCACTATTTCTAAAGGTAGGATTGAGATTAGGATTAAGATTATAATTAGGGTTACATATGGGATTACGTTATGGGTTAGGATTGTAGTAAGGGTTTATTATTAGATTGAGGGTTAGATTTGGGATAAGGGTTTAGAATTAGGATTAGGGATTTAGATTGGGATTAAGATCACTACTTTCCAAAGACCTACATATGGGTATATTTGTACTGAGATGTTGCTGAGTACGTCTAAGATAATTTTATGACAGTGGGACACACGAAACTAAAAAAAAAAAAGCATCAAAAATGTTGTGTATGTAGAAATGTTAAAATAAAAATGAATACCACAAACTTTGAAACAAAATGTCACTTCAATAAAGCTTATATTTTGTGAGGGTCCCCATGGTGTCCACTTTTATAAATGGTATGCATTGGTGGTGTAATTTAAATATGAGTGACTAAAATGCCCCAAAATGAAACCATGACCATTCGTCAATTTGCCATTTAGAAAAAAAACTGTAATGGGCCGGGTATGATTTTAGCCCTGTGCTTTTTTCACAAAAACCTGGTTAAGGTGTACTCAGGAAATATAGCTGAGAATTTAGTGATTTAATTTACAGTAGCATATATCAAGTTTCCAAAATTAACCACTAAAATACAACGTGTGTGTGTGTATAAAAATGCAAAAATAAAATGATAAAATTTGAAAGAAATTGGTGCTAACATAACTGTATAATAAAGCTCAAAATATACCATATGACATAGCCAGTGCTGTCTACTTTCACAAATAGTATGCATTTATGTGTCATTTTAACTGTCAAACTGCTACAATGCCCTAAAATGTAATATAGACACACCAAATCCATTTTTCAAAATTCTAATTGTAAAAACTGTAATGGTCAGGACTCTTAAGGCACTGTAGCTTAGCAGGATAGTGGCAAAGACATACATTGGGGTATTGCTTTATTCAGAAGAGTTTCCTGAGCATAATTATGGGGTTTTGATCACAGTGGCAAATACCAGACTTTAAAAAATGACCCCCAAAAATGTAACGTGTATTTAAAAAATAAAAAAAAAAAAAATAATTTTTTACCACAAAGTGTGACATAAACTGGTGAAAAAAATGGCATCACGTTAAGGCACAATATACACTGTAGTGTCTACTTTCACCAATGGTAGGTCATTGAGGGATAAATTCAATAGTTAAACTGCTACAATGCCCCAAAATGAGACTTGCCCCATCAAATTCATCTATCAAAATTATCACTGTGAAAACTGAAATGGTCAGGTCTCTTTTATGGCACTGTAATTTAACAGGATAGGGGAAAAGGCATAGATTGGGGGTATCGTTTTACTCTGTATATATGGCTGAACACAATATGGGGTTTTCTACAGCAGTACTATATATATCAGCTTAATAAAATACTCATAAAAAATCCTTGTTTTATGTGTGTTAGAAATCGGGGGGAAAAACCCACAATTTTACTACACTATTTAGCAGAGATTGGCGGCGAAATGGCTACGTAAAGTGTCAGAATACCCTTTGGTAAATAGCCTGTGATGTGTGCTTTATATAAATATATACTTTTGTGCAGCAATTTTGCTTTCTGTGATGGCTATTAAGCTTACAAGACAAACATGCCAAATTCTAAAATGTAAAAAAGTTTTGAAAAATGTTTTTACTCCTTGTATTTTGTAACCTGTAACTTTCAAAATAAGCTGAAATCCTAGACATATTATATACTCTGAAAATCAGAACAACTAATTGAATATTTTTAAAATTACTTTCCTTAAAGGACCACTCTAGGCACCCAGGCCACTTCAGCTTAATGAAGTGGTCTGGGTGCCAGGTCCAGCTAGGGTTAACACATTTTTTAATAAACATAGTTTCAGAGAAACTGCTATGCTTATTAATGGGTTAAGCCTTCCCCCAAAGCCTCTAGTGGCTGTCTCATTGACAGCCACTAGAGGCGCTTGCGTGCTTCTCACTGTGATTTTCACAGTGAGAGCATGCAAGCGTCCATAGGAAAGCATTATAAATGCTTTCCTATGCGACGGGCTGAATGCGCGCGCAGCTCTTGCCGCGCATGCGCATTCAGCCCAGGAGGAGGAACGGAGGAGGAGAGAAGGAGAGCTCTTCGCCCAGCGCTGGAAAAAGGTAAGTTTTTAACCCTT